AATGACATAAAAAAAAAAGTTTAGATGGATTATCAAACTACGCATCTGATATTTTCAACTCAAAGCAGAAAGGGAGCACTTGGTTGACTCCGATCCATTTTCAAAATCGTGCCTCAACTCCATTCCAATGCAACAATCTTTAATCGTTTCCTATATTCAGTTTGTAAACAAAGATGACCCAAAAAATATTGAAGATATTTCCATTTTTACTTTTCTGTAAAAATCAAACAATGAAGTGCAAAGTTGGATGTAACTGTAATCATAAACCTAAAGTTTTAGTGACTGTGATGTTTAATGTCCCTCATTTCTCTTTGCAGGTGGTGGTGTCATCCTGTATGCAGGATCATCAGGAAGCGCCAGTCCAAGCCCTGGCAGCCCTTCCAGTGGGTACCAAACACAGTCCCCCTCATCACACTCCCAGCCTTCATCTCCAGAAGAGATTACCTTCACAGAGATCGGGGCGCTCAAACAGGGGAGGGAAACTGGGGGCAGCACCCCAACCTCCAAACTGGTGTTCCAGTTCCCAGATGTCTACAGTGCTTCCCCATCCACAGCTGCTCAACAGCAACCCTACGCACATCCCATTGCGGGAAAGAGGCCCTGCGGATTTGCAGGAACCTTTACCAGTCAGTTGGTTTTTTTTCTCCCTTTTTATATCCAACTATTTATATACATACATCTATTCTCCCTTTTGAGAAGAAAAAAAAAATCATTATCTAATTATTATTGTTTCCATCCCCAGAAACTGGTGGAATGGTCCTGCTCTGTAAAGTTTGTGGAGACATTGCATCTGGTTTCCACTATGGCGTGCATGCATGTGAGGGCTGCAAGGTGAGACACTCAAAAGAAAGAGATGCTGGCAGTTTTTAAAAGTGTTCAAATTTCCTTAACTCTTGCACCCTTGTTTGTGTGTCAGGGCTTTTTTCGACGCAGCATCCAGCAGAATATCAACTACAAGATGTGCGTCAAAAATGAGAACTGTCTGATCATGCGCATGAACCGTAACAGATGCCAGCACTGTCGTTTCAAGAAATGCATCTCTGTCGGCATGTCAAGAGATGGTGAGACGTCCTGATGTATTTCTGTTTAATGAGAGAAAACCTTGTGCAGTGCTGCCAAAATGTCACAGTGTTCTGATTAGCCAAGGCAGCAGAGAAATGGACAGCCAGAAAGAAATTCAGTGCTCATACTGTATGTAGGTCTGATAGAAAGGAGGTTTTTAGGTCATCATGCCAGTAGCTCAGTTACTTTCTCATTAGAGGACCTGCACCTGTCTTTCACTTCTATTTTGTCACCACAATGCCACAAATCACCTGGCTTTGTATCACTCTAATAAGTTTCTGAGTGTATTTTTGCTGCCCTCTGCAGCATCCTCCCACAACACATTTACCTTAATACCCCCCCCTTTATGTTCCGACACTGTTCCCTCAGCTCTCCTACACTCCCGCTCGGACAGTGATTTATGAGAAAAGGAGCCCCGAAGTCCCTCAAGCCATCTATCATCTGAAAAACTGCAGCAAACACAAGAATTATTTTGGGTAATTGGAACAGGGTCAGCTTGATTATGTTGTGTATGTACGCACATCTCGCTGCTGATAATAGGGAGCAGAGCAGCAATTAAGCAAAGCATGCAGAAAACATTGTTGGGACAGGCTTCCTCTGGCATGGCTCTACTTTCACCTGGTTTTACCTCAGAAAGCTGAGACTTGATTGATCACCTATCGTCCCACATTAAAAGAACCGTTTGGTTGACCTAGAAAAACAATAACGATTTGTCCCCACAGTCTACTCACACATCGTGACCTACTTGTGTAGTGTAGTTTGCCTGTGTTCTTCCTCTCAGTATGGCTTCTGCTTATCTCCATCCTCCACCACTCTGCATTGCCTAATCTAGTAAAGAGGTTAGTGTTATTTCTGCATGTGCTTGACACTTCTGGTGCAGAGAGAAAATTAGGCGATAACACTGCAGCTCCACAAGAAGGCAGTCAGGCCGACCCCTCTACGGGGGAACATTTTAGAAAATGTTCAGGACCACAACCTAGAAACCCCTTTTTGCTCTGTTTCAACCATTACGAAAACAGGAAAACCACATGCAACTGCCTGCAGCCCACAATAAATAGTACACCCTGATTTCACACCAGCAGGCAGCTGTGCGAATTAGACTCTGCAATAAGCAAATGTTCAAAGTCTTTTTTTAGGCTGGCACACTTTTTGTTCCTCTAAGTGGAGCATCATATTTAGAAAAGCAGCTCATTAGTCTGACTTTGGCTGTTTTGAAACATAATAAAAGGGGATTAATCTCACATCGTGTGCTTCCTCATCATAAGTTCCTGCAGGCGACAGCAAGCTGGATGCATATTTGCTAAATGCAGCTTCGCTCTTTGTGGCGCATCTGACCTAAAACATCATCAGTATATTTCAGAAAGTTCCTCAAGTTCTACACAAGGAATGACATTAGTTTGTATTAAAATCATTGTTGCCTGATCGCACTGAACTGTCATCCTGCATTAAGAAGAGCTGTCCTTTACTGGATTTCAGTGCTGCATTCAACACAGCCGATTGTATTATACTGACTGGTGGAAAAAGTGGGTGTGTATGTATATATATATATATATATATATATATATATATATATACATATATGTATATACATTTTATTTTTTTTACAACTCCTCTATGCTGAGTACTCTTACCATACCTAAGTTGAAGACTTTTGTAGTTGTGTCAACACATGGAGTTGTCACAAAGGAGTTGTGACAACACAACTTCTTTGCACTCACTGAGTCGGTGTGTCCGAGATATTGATAAAAGCAGAAAAGAAAAGTTATATATGTGCTCCTGAAAGTCTAAGGTTTTTTACTATAATTTAAAAAGACACAAGAGACTACAAAGGAGCCACTGTCCCGTCTTCAGATCACTGTACTGGCTCCATTTTTAAGAAAGATACAATTGATTTATTGGTTCATAATCCCCTGACCGAACTGTTGATGGCCTTACCACAGGGACAATATAGAGGATTTTAGTTTATCAGACACAATGACTCCAAGATCAGAATTTAAATAGAGGAGGCAGCAAATCTGACCTAAAAAATTAATTATTTATTGCAGCCTTCTCATAAAGGTTCAATATTACTTAAACGTTTTAATGTTACCATGCTTTGCATTTTGGCTATTTGAATTAAATTAATATCTTTTAGTGTTTGCCTCTCTTTACTTGGAGCTTAAATACTTTTTTTCCGACATGTTTTTTGTTTCTTAAGTGAATATCTGTACCTCTGTTCCACGTAAAGCACTTGGTGTTGGGATGATGCCTTGCCTTGCCTTGGTTGCAGAAGTCTTTGAAGTTGCTCCAGTTTTAGCTCTCCTTGCCTTATCAAACATAATCTTGTGGGTACTCACAGACATGCAGTCCCTCACACTCTCTTTTTCACTTTCAACATTTTGCAGTCTTTCATGTCAACCTTTTTCACGTTATCTTTGCTCTCTCCTTGACTCATATGCAAACCTGAAACCTACCTTTCCCCCCCAATTTTTGTTCTTCTGCCACCTTCATATCATTGACATCATGCTCATGTTGCCCCACTGCCCTACTTGCAGTTGCAAGAGAGGGAGGACTGGAAGAAGAGAACAGGGCTGGATGGAGAGAAGGATGAGGGAGATGGCAGCAGGGAGACTATAAATAGCCTCTCTCCAGCTGATGGGTTCAGGAGAAGGGGGGGAAGAAGGCAGAGATTTAACTAAAAATTTGCAGAAATCTTGTATGATTTTTGAGACCTTTGGGGTCTCAAAAATCATATATTTCTCTTGCAGTCTGTTTCCTTAACTCTTCCTAATAGGTGTAATGCACATGCCTCCTCTTTCCGGAGCTCTTGATTCGTTATGATTTTCATTGTTTTGTTTGATTAAATTTAGACGTATTTTATCGTTACAAAGACTGCTGAAAAATTGAGTTTTGTGATTAAAAACAAATATGAAATAACTTCAGATATAAATAAAATGATAAAATGTGCCAAGCCTGAGTTTTAATGTTTCTCCTTCATATTCATGTCATCCTTAGCTGTCCGTTTTGGCCGCATTCCTAAACGGGAGAAGCAGAGACTCCTTGATGAGATGCAGAGCTACATGAACAGCCTGAATGAGTCAGCTCCCATGGATATGGACTCTCCCATTATGGAGAGTACCAACAGCACAGATGACTGCAGCTCAAAAGAGGCCATTGGGACAATATCCAGAGCCTATCGGGACATCTTCACCACCAACAACAGCCATGAAAGATCCTCCAACAGGGCCAGCATTTCCGCTTCCAACAGCAGCAGCAACAACAACAACAATGCTTCAACCTTTCCTCGGGATGGTAGTTTCCAAGCACCATCTCATCCCAGTTCCACCCAGAGTTATCAGTCCTGCCCCGTTTCGCACGCAGCTATGTGTCCTGTCACCTCTAATGAAAACCAACCTGTGTTTCACAAAGTGGACAACAATCAGTTTTCCTATTTAGTGTCAACAAACCAGAATCAAAGCCAATCAAATGCTGCAATGAGGCAAAGGGTCAGCCCCTCCAATCATAGCAGTTTTCCCACTGGAGAAGTTGCCCAAAATGCAGCCTCCTGTCCATGGAAATTAGCACAAGGAGCAAAAGTGCTGGTAGGTGTGATAAAATAAAAAAGTATTGCTAATAGTTCTCTTATTTGACAAGCAGTTGATGGTTTTGTGCATACTTCTGTTTCTCCCCCAGGCCTGTCCCCTCAATGCGTGCCCTGTATCAGGAGCAGAGCGAACGAGTCAGGAGATATGGGAGTCCTTTTCTCAGTGTTTCACCCCTGCTGTGAAGGAGGTGGTGGAGTTTGCCAAGGGCATTCCTGGATTCCAAGAGCTAAGCCAACAGGACCAGGTCATGCTGTTAAAGTCCGGAACCTTCCAGGTAATCTCACCAATATGATTTGTTTGAAACTTTCCACACAGTGAGTGATTGCAAATCATATATTACTCTATATCCACTGATGTATTTTCTCTGTGTGTATTTGTGTGTTTAGGTACTCATGGTGAGGTTTTGCACGTTGTTCAATGCCGAGCAGCGTACAGTAACCTTCTTAAATGGTCAAACGTACCCCCTGTCAACTTTGCGAGTCTTGGGCATGGGGTCTCTTCTGGATGCAATGTTTGAATTCAGTGAGAAGCTGGGCTCCCTGGGGCTGGAGCCTGATGAAATGGCTCTGTTCATGGCTGTGGTTCTGGTTTCTGCAGGTAATAGAAAAAAACATTTTTACATTACCTTTCAAAAGTCATCATATTCTTTACAGTTTTCTAACATTATAAATAAAACAAACATTACATTTCTTTCTTTGGGAGTCTATTTGATAGAGTAATGTAAACCTACTCTTTAATCTGATACGCCTTATCCATTATCAGTGCAAACAAATATCTTCAGATGCTGCCTAATTAGCATCTGATTAGTCTAGCTGTGAGTGATTTAATTTCACATCTAGTTTGATGGTAAAGATTAGTGAGTAGAAAGCCCAATAAACCCAAGAGACACACTAAACAGGTCAGGGGTAAAGGGGAAACTCACTTAATTACAATGCCAACCGTAACATATGGTGGTGGCAGCTTAATGCTGTGGTATGCTTTTCATCAGTAGTGCTATAGTAAAATAGTAGAGCTATAGAGGCTGATTGTGTTTGATGGGAAGATTGGTGGAGCTAAATACAGAGTTAACTGGATGAGGACTTGTTAGAAGCTGCAAAACACAGGAACATCAACTGGAGGTTATCTCTTCAGTAGAACTAGTACTCTAAATACAAGAGTTAGAGTCTCTCAGGAAATGGTTAGATCACCTCCTTTTTACATAATGTCCCATTCAAAGTCCAGTAAAAAAAAAAATCTCCAGATGTGCAAAGCTCTGCAAAGATAGTCCAAACACTTGCACACTGAGATATGATTTTTGAGAAAGGGATAAATAATATTAATAATTGAACCATTTATCACTCTCAGCTTTTACTGTTTACACTGCTATGTGATGGTCCATAATATTTAATCCAAATAAGATAAACATCAGTGAGTGAAAAGTTACAAAAATGTGAAAACAATAAAAAGTGCTGAATATTTTTTCAAAGTATTGAGTATGCTTCAGATCAGTAAGAAATTGCTTCAGAACAATTAAGGCTATTGATTAAGTACCTATCAGCTCACACTGTGAACCTGTGTATCCTGCAGACCGTTCTGGGATCTCAGACATGAGAGCTGTGGAGCAGCTTCAGGAGGGTCTGATCCGCGCCCTCCGATCACTGATCGGTCGCCGACGCCCAGACGACTCGGCCCTCTTCCCCAAACTCCTGCTGCGCTTGCCAGACCTGCGAACCCTCAACAACCTGCACTCCGACAAACTGCTGGCCTTTCGAATTGACCCATGAGAAGGAGACTGGTTTCATGTGGAATAAAGCAAAGACATTGAAATACAGACTTTATGAAGACAGGACTTCCTTTAAAAGCGAGAGACAAGATGTGGTGCAATATGAAGAATGTGCAAAAAAGAACAATTGAGGGGGGGGGACCTATTTCCAACTCATGTTTAATACATATGCAATGTTTTTAAGATAAAAAGATACACATCCATAAAACTCATGTACATAAATCACTGTTATCTCCAGAAAAATCTTAATTAATAGAGTTACTTTTTCAATCTTAGACAGATCTTTTGTGTATTTGCTCATTATCAAGCTTTAGAAGAAACTCGGTCAAGTTCACTTGATCTATTTAAGTTCACAAAGTATTACTGGACTATGAGTAGGCAGCAGCTAGAGGATGAAAATAGATGAACAACATGGTAAATAATTAGGGACCACTGGTGGTAAATGATCAGATGTTAGTCATATTTAGAAGAAAGGGAAGCTGTACATAAACTATAGTGAAGCCACAACTGTTAAGTTAATTAGTGATTTCTGTTTCATAAACATACCATCAGAATTAAGACTTCTGTGCTTAATGTGTCACTTTTGTACAACAGGATGCATTCTGTCCCATTTTCCACCAGAGCTTGTGCTGAAATACATCAGTGGCTTTTGAATTATTTCAGATTAACTTTCTGTCTGGATCATCGTACTTTTATCACATATGAACCAATGGAGACACTCCCTGCACAGTGAACCTTAAAACTTCTTTGTTCATTTCTGTCACTTTGTAAATATTATGTTACCCTATTATGTATGTATAATATGCATCAGAGATTTGAAGGATAGAGTTTGGTATAAAGAAGAATGTATTCTGCCTTCCTGTACTCAGCGAGGGCTCTGGCTATACGCTGAAGGGGTAAAGCACAGAGGACTGTGTTGAAGGGGATTCTGAGATGTCTTGGACACACTTCCACATATTATAACTAACCAGCATAATCCTTGATATTACCAGCACTTAAAGCTCATGAACCCATCCTCTGCCCCCCAATGTTTGTCATACAAACAAAAGAGATATTTTTTGGCTGAAGGATCTAATCCGATCTTCTCACTGCTTGTTTGATTATGGCTAATATGCGCACCTTGTACATTTTGTAAACTTTCTTTTTTTCCTCCTGAATAGAAGTATACAATGATATAAAATTCAAATTGTGCATCATTCTGTTTCTGTGTCCTTTCTTGCACCTGTTTGGCAAAATGTCCTCCAGATTTTTTTTTTTTCAGATTCTGGGTGTTTCACTTAATCAGTGAACATATGTAAGCTGAGGCTTATGTCTAAAGCTTTCACTATGATCATAACAGAAAATAAGGGTTTCCTGATTCAGTGGCGATGAAATCAAACTAGTTACGTTTCAGAACAAATAGATGCTTGTTATGATGAGAACAAAATAAAGCAATCTTATATTAGGATAGATTAAAATACGAATAAATAAAGTAATGATGAAGTAAAGCAAAGTAAAATGAAGTATAGTTAATGTAAACAAAAGGCGAGCAAAGTTAAGCAATACAAGGTATAAACACAAACAGGTTAAGCTGGTGAAAAAAATATCCAAAAGTTAAATAAAATAGCCAAAAAAGTTAAACCTAGGAAACAAATTATACAAAAATAAATTTTGTGAAATGAATAACACAAACTTTAATGATAAATTACAGGGAAAAAAATACTGCAATGAATAAAGTGGAATCATGTGAAATAAAATAAAACTATATTGTGAACATTCCTTTGGTGTCTCTTCATATACAAGACAATCTTGGGCTAGAAACCTCTCTACTTGCCATCCCTTCTTTATGGTACTAGAACACTTTGAAAAAGATCAAGTAACATAATAAAGTTCAGCTCTTCTGCAACATCCTTCACTCTTGCACTAAACCCTTTGTCTTTGCTGCAGCACAGAACTGGAACACACTCTAGAACACCCTCAAACTTCCAGGTCTGATCCCTATCTCCACATTAAAGCAGAACATTCAAAGCACTAGAGTTGACTCATTCCTGCTGATAACCTTCTAAATTCACCCTTAGCACATTTTTCACTTCTATTAGAAGTTGAATCTAATCTAATCTAATCTAATCTATTTTTATTTATATCTATTTTTTGAATGTAAATGTTGTGCTATGTTATATGTACTGTATAATTTTATTTATTCATCCAGGCTCTTTGCCAGGTCATGCTTGTAAATGAAAAGTGGCTCTAAAAACGTTTACCTGGATAAATAGAGGTTAAATGAAAACAAAAATAATTAATTCAAGTTTTATAATAAGAACTGTTTGCTAGTTTGCAATAAACTGAATTTCAGATTACAACTAACATTCATTAAACTTTAATCATATCACGTAAAAATACTTCAAACTGGAAAGTTTTATATCACTAACAACAGATGATTACCACAGTGGTTTCAAAAAAATCTGTTTTATATTTGTACTTATCAAGTAAAAGTTTTTCAATATATTCAAAATAGTTAAAGTTTTATAAAGAAAAATATTTATTGATGCCATCAAGTTTGAATACAGCTTAATAGCAGAGGTTCTTTCATAAACTACTGTAACCTAACTCACAGCTTTAAGTCACAGACTGTGAGCAAATGCAGGAAATGAAAAACCACTACCCTGTAGTCGTTGAGATATATAACAACTGAGGCCACAAAGGTACTCCGAGTTACTCTGAAATGAGTCTTTCACATTGACTTTCTTATCATTCATGAGTAATTTTCAGATAAGTTTCTCTATGCAGCAATCTGCATGCCTAACCTATCAGGGGAAAGTTCTTAAGAACAAATCTTTCTATCCCTTAACTTCATGTGTTGCTTGAGAATAAGCATGTTCTAAGGACGTAAAAGATCCAAATAAAACTCTTTTGTTTTTATTAGAAGGTTCCTTTGTGGAAATGAAAAACATTATATCCAAGCATTAATTCTGGAAATCATTTTTTAAGTGGTAGTTATGTCATGATATGGGCAAATGTTAGTAAAAGATGTCTCTAGATTAAGCTTTAGCCTTATAATTTTCTTAATTTTTAAATCACACAATGTTTCAGATCATTAAACCAAAGCATATTATATACATGTATTGAACACAAATCATTTCTTATAATCATTTTATTTTAATGGTTACATAACTAACAATTATATAGTTTAATATAAATGATTAATAAAGATTAATCTAGAATAGAATAAAAAATCCCTTTATTGTCCCACAATGGAGAATGTTCAGGTTTTTATATGTTTAAAATATACATACTTAAACGATATTAGAAATAATATAATTGGCCCATTTTCTAACTAATTATAATATGTATGAGAGAGAAAAAATAGTCATTATTTGTACCACGTGACGGTTTATGTTCATCAGTGAATATTTGAGCTAGGAGCGCCATCTGCTGGCGAAATATTATATAGGGATCCAGGAAGAGGATGTGTTTGCTAATTTACACTTGCTACAATCCTAGTCTCTCTTTTTATCTCAGTGTTATTATTTATTGTATCACAGGTTTAACATGGGAGCGATGTTAACCGATACGGTAAGATACACTGGACGCCCCAGTTTATATACTAAAAATAATTATCTTTCTGCTTTAAAAAACATTCGCCTTTATGTTGGTGGTAGCATGTTAGCTTCCATGCTAACGACAGTTACAGGAACTGTTCGCGTTCGATTCAATGTAAACGAGTTCAGCTTTATATTTTAGTGCAACAAATTTTTCCTAACTGTTGTGTTTTGCAGAGAAAATCAGAGTAGAAGTGGGTGATGAATGATAACATAGTTTTACTCAGTTGTACACTTTTCTGTTTGTGTTTATTTCCAGGTCCAGCAGTACAGGAGAAAAATAATTGTGATCACAATTGAAACTCGGTTTTGTCTCTAACTGGCTGCCATTCTGATCCGACATGTTGGTGACCGCATATTTTGCCATAATTGTCCTGCTGGCTCTGTGTGTTGGCCTGGAGTTCACAGCACGCCGCCTCACCCCCCCTCAGTCCACCCCCACTGCTGTGGCCAACCCGGCTTTCCGTCGTTTCCAGAGTATATTTCTACGGGCATACCTCCTGGCCCTGTGGGCAGACTGGCTCCAGGGTCCCTACCTCTACAAACTCTACCGTCATTACAGCTTCTTGGAATCTCAAATAGCTATTTTATATGTGTGCGGACTGGCCTCCTGTGTCCTCTTTGCTCCTTTTTCAGGCTGGCTCCCTCAAGCTCTGGGCCGCAGACTGACATGTCTGCTCTTCTGTGTGTCCTACTCCGCCTGCTGTCTCACCAAGCTGTCCAGGGACTACTTTGTTTTAATCGTGGGTCGCATCCTTGGGGGGCTGTCCACATCCCTGCTTGCCACCACCTTTGAATCCTGGTATGTGCACAGACATGTAGAGGTCCACGACTTTCCTAAAGAATGGATCCCCAGCACCTTTAATAAAGTTGCCACCTGGAACCATGGCCTGGCCGTGGGTGCGGGGCTTGTGGCTAACTTGCTGGCTGAGTGGCTGCACCTTGGACCAGTAGCTCCCTTCCTGCTGGCTGTACCCTGCTTGGGCTGCTGCGGTTGGGTGGTACTAACAGACTGGGGTAAGGAGGAAGCGGAAGGAGGTGAAGGAGAGAAACAAACAATGATACATGGCTCTGCAAATGGAGGTGTTGCTCGTTTGTCTGCTAAAGAGCGATTCTCACGCAGCTGCCATGACGGACTGCGCTGCTTGCTGTCGGACAAGAGGGTCCTGCTCTTAGGTGGAGTGCAGGCGCTGTTTGAAAGTGTCCTCTACATATTTGTTTTTTTGTGGACTCCAGTTCTTGACCCTCATGGCCCCCCGCTAGGAATCGTCTTCTCCTGTCTCATGGCTGCCAGTATGGTCGGCTCTCTGCTGTACCGCTTAGCCACTTCAACTCGTTATCATCTGCAGCCTGGTCAGGTGCTCTGCCTTGCCATCCTGATGGCCTTCTTCTCATTTTTCATGCTAACCTTTTCTACCGTGCCAGGGCAGCCGAGGCCTCATGATTCCTTCCTAGCCTTCCTGCTGCTGGAGCTGGCTTGTGGACTTTACTTCCCTGCAGTCAGCTTCCTACAGCGAAGAGTAATCCCAGAGGAGAAACGGGCCGGTGTCCTGGCCTGGTTCCGACTACCGCTGCATCTGTTAGCCTGCCTGGGACTGCTGGCACTCCACGGGGAAGTCTCTGGAACAGGAGGTGGAGAGGGCGGCGGTGGCACAAGACACATGTTCGGAGGCTGCGCCGCCATGATGCTGGCAGCTCTGATGGCTGTCATCAGTCTTTTCACCCTGAGCAGGAATGACTCAGACCTCAGACTGGAGGGATGCAGAGGGGAGGGGGAGATGGAGTGAAGCTGCAGATCCATTAAAGAAATAACTGATAAAATATTTGATTTCTGTCTGACTTGACTGGAATAAACTTGTGTTTATATTTGCCAATAAAAGATATCAACAAGGATGTTCAGTAAATTTAAGCTTAGGTTTTTGTCTTTGCTTGTTATTACTTTTTGGGTTATGAAGCTTTAATGCATCCTGTTGTACAGGGTTGGAGTGATTCTACAGCAAATTTCAGATCAGTTATACATAGCTCCATGTGTCCATCTGTATGAAGCAAACAGTTTTAAATAAAGGTCAGAGCCTTCATTAGGGTCAGCAACATAAAAGCTTTAAAAAAAAAAAAAAAAAAAAAGAAATGGCAAAAGATAATGGTGGTCTATGTAAACCAGTATGCCTTTGCCATTTCATTTGGATCTGTTTGTAATTTCTTTATATTTTCTTAATGTGTTTCTGTTTGTTTGTTTTTTGTTTTTTTTTAAATAAAAGTACACATGTTGGCTATAAGAAACATGTCTTTGTTTTATTTGGCTATGATTTTCTGGGTAACTTGTCTTTGATCTGTTCAGTTAAGTTACATTGCATTGAAATGTATTAAAAAATTAACCCTTGACATTTCTTAAAACTGTATTTTTAATTTGGGATTTTACCAAATTAAAGTATCACATAGTTGTGAAGTGGTGTGCAAGAATAAATGGCCTTCAACATATTTATAAAATAAAACTGAGAGGTCTGGTAAAAGATTTTATTCAGCATCCTCCAATATTTTCTATAATCACATTTTGTCATAGTTACAGCTGCAGGTCTTTTTTCCATGTACATTTTTATCTAGAAGCTGAAATATTTCCCTGTTTTACTTTGCAAAAGAAATCAACGTTCATTCATATTGAATGGAAATTATTTTTGAAAGATTTTGTAATTCTAACTGTATGTTTTGCCGTATATGTGGGTCTTTTTGGAAGGGGAAGTCCTTCACATTCTTTAACAGGTTTTCCTCCATGATTGCCCATATATTACTCCAAATCAAACCATCTCTCTTATCCTTTATCTTTACTAAAGAGAACCTTTTAGCATCATGCAGCCATTAAGTTATAGGAAAGGTGTGTTCGGGGAAATGTACACTGTTGTTTGTCAGGCATACTGTTTATTTGCATCTGGGTCTGCTAAAGATAGTCTCTGTGTATGCACCTTGATGCTCTATCTCTCCGGTTCTTTTCCCTGAAAAGAGATCACTCGGAACAAACTCTTTAAATAACACTTCATAACTTATATGTATTAAATAACCAGGAGACATGACAACAGATTCTGAAATTATAATCTTACTCAGATCAGAGAAATTTCTTAGAGTTTACAGAAGGCAGCTGCTCACCTCTAAGGAAGTGGCCCTGATTAACAGTTAAAAAGGCATTTTATACATCTCCAGTCTGCCAAATCATCTTATTTTACATCATACAGATGATGAGACATCCATGGCTCCAGCCTTATCAAAATATTACACTTTGTTCTTAGCTGAAAGAGGCCGCTTTCATTCCATTTCCAAATCTTTGCCACATACTGAATGACGATTATAACTATATCCAGACAGAGGAACTGTCTTAATTAGATTAAAACGTCAGTTCTGATGGGCAACAGGAAGCCAATACCAAGGTGTAATAAACTCACACATCTTCAATGATAATTATCCTAACAGATCAGACAGTTTATATCAGGGATAACACACGCCTCATTAGAAGTCAGACTGATTATAGTGTTGATCTAAGGGCACGCATCATCCCTTTTAACCATTGTGTATGTTTTAGTAACTATTGGAAAAGGCTATTTTCCCTTGGGATCAGCAAAAACTGAATCCGATCCTGTCGACAGATACTCCAACTTGAGCTGTAGAGCTCTGCAGCTCCTCCATAGTTACCACAACCCTTTTGGCTGTTTCTCTGATTGATTTCTCTTGGTGCTCTGACTCCCCATCCTTTTGGCAGACGGCCATGCCTGTTTATAAGTTTTGTTTTGTTCTTTTTTCCCCCCCACTTTTTTCATTTTTAGATGATGGATACAGACTGCTATAAGAGATGTTCAGGCAGCTGGACTTATATTTCTCATAAATACTAAATATCATGTATTTTTTCCTTCACCTTTAAAATAATTTCTAATTTCTGTTGGTCTTGCAGAAAACAAACACAAAATACAATACAGAATGTGATAAAAAAAAAAAATTATCCAACTGATCTAGAACTTTCCTAACATGTTTGGGCTCTGTAGCAGCTCCCCATCCCAGCTCTGCTTCACACCATGTTTCTAGATTTCTCTAGACTTGAGAACCTCTAAACGCATCACGCAGATCTCATGACGTGCGGGCTCTCCCCGCGTTCTGCGGGGCTGTGGTACAGTCCCAGCTCTCTCCTATGGAGCAGCTTCCTCTGGATGCTGCTAGAACATCCCTCCGTGGGTGTGGGAGGGGCATCCGCACAAGTGGAAACTGCGATGTTTTTGGTTACATCAGTGCGTCATCGGAGCGCAGTTTTCAGTCTCATCAGGCATCACGGCGCTTTTTAAGTCCTACCTCTGGTCTCCAAGCTGTTAGTCCTCTGCTGAATTGAAGAGGTGAAACATCAAGGAAAGAGACACCAGATCCTCATCAGCTGATCGGGAAGGAAACTAATTCAATCTGCTGAAGGAGTAAAGACTGACACCATGACACAGGGCAAGGTATGAATAAGACTTTGCTTTCAATGACACATTGTGCATTTTTTTTCGGTTTTTTTAATTTCTCAAATGTCGCTAATCTTTTAATGTCATTCATGCAGTGAATTAATCAATAGTAAATTACTATTTATTGTTACTAACAATGAATGAATCCTGCTTTTATTGAAGTTTGCTGTCCTGAATGAAATGCGTCATTGGTCAGTCTTTCCATCATGTGGCCCCCTACATCTTTCCAGAGCCCTGGTTGTTTGTGTTACCCTGTTATTTCTCTCATACCAGACGATATAGTCAATTATTTAAAAATAATAATAATAAAAAAGATGGTTTTAATTTTATGTTTCAATGAACACTTCAAAGGCTAAAGAGACAGTTTCGCAGTTTAAAGCTTTAAGAACAAAAAGTTGGTTTGTAAAAATGACTAAAAAAAATTTTTGTTATAAAAACGTTTTTATATTTCCTTTCAAGCCCACCGTTTTACCTTTTTTGTGATTGCAAAAAAGGACTTCTGTATTTTCAATCACTGTTTGATGCAAAACTTAAGGTACCCCATAAATATACACAGTGACTGAAAAAAAAAATATTTAAAAATGTCTAATATCTATACAAGATTTTTGAATAAAACTTTATTGCAAAATCAGACTTCTTTATTTTCAATCAGTATTTGATGCAAAACTTAAGGTACCCCATAATTATAACCACAGTGACTTCAAAAATAAAAATGTAGTTAAAAATGTTGTACATATGTCTAATATCCATTTGTAGTTCATTTTTGTAAAAAAAAAAAAAAATTTTAATTTTTTCAATCACCTTGGTTATAATGATGGGATACCTTAAGTTTTGCATCAGTTACTGTTTGAAAATACAGACGTCTGGTCTTGTGATTGAAAAATCAGACTTCTTTAATTTCAACCAGTATTTGATGCAAAACTTAAGGTACCCCATAATTATAACCACAGTGAATGAAATAAATACATTTTTAATTATAAATATTGTACATATGGATATTAGTAATACACAATGTGCTTTTGTATCCAGTGCACTTTTCTTTGAAAGCTAAATAAAGTCAAGCACAATTGATTGCCTAGGTCACCTAATTGGTAAATTAAAATCGACCTGTGTAACAGAAGGCTTCAGGGGTTTATTGGAGAACATTAGTGGAAAAAAACAGCATCGCAGAAGGAACACGGCAGACAGCTTAGGAGAGAAAGTATTGGTGAAATTTAAAGAAAGGGTTAGGGTATAAAACTTTACCCCAATATTTGATCATCTTACAGAGCCCTGTTCAATCTATCAACCTAAAACTGGAACAGTATAGTGAATTAATAAAATATGCCCACCTAAAGTAGGAGAATCTGGCCATAAGAACACCAATCAGAAAAAAACAAAACAAACAAAAAACATCTAAGAGGTATTAGATTAAACTTAACTCTTTGGTCTACAGGGAAGAAAATGACACCATACTGTCAATAAGGTGAAACATGAGGGCAGCAAAAAAGGGATGGACAGGAAGTCCACTACATCTTAGTATTTAAACTTAATTGTAGGTGTAGCTTAGGTGTTAGAATCTGCTGACAGTTTGCCTACCATCCTAGAAACCAGGCCTTTAAAATGGGCAAGAGGATGGCTATGGTAAGTCCTTTTGAACTTTGTGGCCTACAGACAAAACACTCAGTATGGGAAAAAAAAACACATAAAAAACAGATAATGCAATTTACTATAAACACACCATCCCCCACAGTGAAGCATGGTGGTGGCTGCATAATGCTTTTAGGTTGCTTTTCTTGTGCACACAAATGCACACCCCCTTTGTCAAATTCTTATTAGTCTATTTCCTTCCACTTTACAATTATAAGACTATCACATAGAATCCAAATAAAATGGCAAATGAAAACCTTTGCAAGGTATGCCATCTAGAGGACACAATTTCATAATGAATTAAACATGTGTTTTAAAAATTCAGAAAAAGGTTTATAGGAGATTATGTTGAATGAAATTGAAGTTAATCAATAAAATTTACATTTAACATTTTATATTTATAGTACATTTAACAATAAATATATCTAATTTAGTTTTTTTTTTTTTCTTTTTTTCCCCCCAGAAAATAATAAATTATAGTTAATGGTTTAAATCAAATAGAAAATTAATAGAATTCAAGAAAAAGCTTCAGAATTTGCAAAACAAGAAAACCAAACAACAATGCATCAGAAGTAATCAATATGGAGTTGCTCTTGCAAAACAAATGGCCTTCTGTCAAGTATAAATACTTGGGGGCTATTTCCGGTGACCAGTCATGATAAACATGATACGTGAGGGAAGAGCATATTTAATAATAATAATAATAATAATACATTTTATTTAACAGCGCCTTTCTTGACACTCAAGGTCACTTTACAAATAATACAAAAAATAAACTCTGACTTTGTCAAAATGTCACATTTATATTCCAGAGCAAACCTGCAAGAATACATGTAATAAAAAGTTTTTACTTGTTTTTAATCTGTTTAGCTCTCACTTGCTAACAAGGCTGACGACTCCTCAAGTGGAGAGGCCTTTGTGGCACCAGTTCCCCCCACATATGAGGAAGCTATTGCAGGTAGGACTGCACTTTATTCTCTATAGCCTCATCCAATCAGCCTATTATCATATATTATAAAGCAACCTACAAAAGATTTGCTATGTATATGGTAACAAAAAATTGTTGTAATGAGTGGATTGTTTTAGTGTGTGAAGAATCATTAACATGACTTAAATGAAATCGATCATTAGGTGCCAGTGCTCCTTGCTACAATGATGAAGAGATGCTCACAGAGTTCAGCTGGGATGATTCCAACATCAGAAGAGTCTTCATTCGAAAGGTACCACAAAAAACATTTTATTATATTTATTTGGTGGAAATGTTGAGTTAACAAGTATTTTTACCTCAACTGGGCTGATCTAAAATGGTAAATGGCTTGTACTTATATAGCGCCTTTATTCAAGTCAGGAGACTTGACCAAAGCGCTTTACACTAGATTCATTCACCCATTCAAGCACACACTGATGGTGGCAAGCTACATTGTAGCCACAGCTGCCCTGGGGCTCACTGACAGAAGCGGGGCTGCCGTACACTGTCACCACCGGGCCCTCTGACCACCATCAGTAGACAATGCAGGTGAAGTGTCTTGCCCAAGGACACAACGACACTGAAAGTCGGAGCTTGAACCGTCAATCCTTCGATTTCAAACTCACTACACTACATCCAACGCCACCGTCGCCCTGTGAAACACTGAATAGCAAACATAAACACACCCTGATAATCTATAAATTCCTGCTATTTCTTTCAGGTTTACTCCATCCTTATGATCCAACTTTTGGTCACTTTTGCAATCGTGGCTCTTTTTACATTCTGGTAAGCATTTCTTCTAATACCTCCAAAACTAATATGGATTAAAGGATGTATTACTTATTGAGAACTTTCTCTTACAGTGATCCAGTGAAAGACTACATTCAAACCAACCCTGGATGGTACTGGGCCTCATAGTAAGTTGCATGTTTAAGAGCAGATCCTTTTTCAACCAAAAATATTTATTTTTTTTTGCCAAAAACATCTCATTGATATTTTTTATACTTTTATAGTGCGGTGTTCTTTGTCACCTACTTGACTCTGTCATGCTGCTCTGCACCCAGGTACATCATTGTTGCCCAATATTGAACATATATCAGTATAAACGAGAAATCAGCAGTTGGTAATGAAAACAATATGACTTGATTTTTCATTGCAGGAGACGCTTCCCATGGAATTTGATCCTTCTTGCCGTCTTTGTAAGTTAAAAAAACTTATACAAATATATTCTGTTACTTATTTCTAGCATAACACATGCCAAACTTCATAATATACATATATTTTTTAAATAATTTCTTCACAGACCTTATCTCTTTCCTACATGACTGGAATGTTGTCCAGGTAATGACATCATCTTTCTTTTAGTCCCTCATTTCTGTGATGTTTGGTTACTCAGAACATTTTAAATGAGACTCACCTACAGTGTATCTTGTTCATTTTTCTTCAAACAAAATTTATGTGGCTCATAATATAATATAAATATATCATATTATGTGTGTCTGTTTTGTTTTAACAGCTTCTATAACACCAAGTCAGTAGTAATGTGCCTGGGGATCACAGTAGCAGTCTGTCTCATAGTTACGGTCTTCAGCTTCCAAACTAAGGTGAGGCAAATATACTAAAATGACTCCCCCTCTGTGTTGATGCATGCAGATCTCAGGGAGGTCAAATATTATTTGTAATTTGATGTGTCTCCTCTCTCTTTAGCTTGATGTGACCTCATGCCAGGGTGTACTATTCATTTTCTGCATGGTGATGCTCGTCTCTGGACTGGTGCTGGCGATTGTCCTTCCATTTCAATATGTAAGTACAATCAGTTATCTAAAGAGTGTACTTCCATACCCTTTTTAATTCTTCACCATAAAGCAGCAATAAAATAATCCATAGCCGAAAAACAAACAAAGATAACTTTCTTTTACATAACTGATTAGGTAAAGAAGCTACATCACTGAAGCGTCATGTTTCTTCAGTTTGCTTTAAACTGATACTTGATCAGGGACACCTTGGATTCACATTTCAAAGCTCAAAGTTTTCCTTGTTTTTCCATTGACAGGGTAAATAACTCCACTAGATCCTTGCTGTCAGAAAGTGACGCCTCTGTAGGCTTATGTTAGTGGCCATGTGTCTGCTGTCGTTCCTCACCATATTGTAAATAATGGTAGACAGGTGGGGACAGGAAAACTAATGCCCTTAATACAAATGAGAAATGTTTTTTACATTTTGATTCCTTCAAAATCATTTTTTTTGTTTGTGTGTGTGAATAGTTTTGATTCTTAAAACAATCTGAAAATTAAAAATAGAAAAAATAACATCTAACAGTGATAACTGTTCCTAATTGGTCCTACAGTGCAAAACAAACTAAAAGTGAGTTAAAAGTTCTTAAAATAAGAGTTTTTACCTTGGATTTGAGTAGGTAAATAAGGAGATCTGCCAATGGCTTGGGTATTTTTACCATTAAAATAAGAAGATGTGATAGTATGGGCTTGAAATAAGAGACTGTAGTTGTTTTCTGCTTTTACGTGTAATTGTCTTTTTCCATTGGCAAAGAGTCTCACTTACCTGCTAAATTCAAGAAAGAAAGGTACTTATTTTCTTTTTTTTTTTTTTTACAGTGTTTCCACATGTTGATGGGCCCTTTGTCATATACTATGTAACACCGTCTGATAGGAAAGCACTGATATGAGACTTATATTCTATGCTTAAGACATGTGGTGATATGACTTTGAGGGCCACATCAATTGTTTTTTGTTTTTACTATTTTCTAATAAGATTGTGTAAAGCACTTTAAATGTCACAAAAAGATATTTTAAACATAACCTGCCAAAAAAAAAAAAGAAAAAAGCCTCGAACTCAATGCAAATCCAGACATTTTGAATTGAGAAAGCTTCCTGGATGGGAAGCGAAGCATCTTCAAACCTTGGAAACAAAGTCCAGTGGATAGTTTTTTTGTTTTTTTTTTACTTTTTCAGTATGACTATGACCTGGATGACTGAGAATCTTCACCAGCATAACTTTCACTAGTATTCTACAAGATTCATTCTTGCAACATTATATTTTAATGAATCATCATATTTTCTTTGCAGGTGCCCTGGTTGGATGCCATTTACGCTGCGCTGGGAGCCATTCTATTCACAATGGTAAGAGTACAGCTGCGTGCTAAGCATAAATCATGATGTAGAGCACTGCTTTCCAATCTTTTCTTATTGCTACCCTTTCAAGAATTGGACAAATAAAACTCAACTTCAGAAAAAAGTTAAAATAAATTAACTATAATCCTCTTTTTAAATCCCAAAACTACCACCTCTTACGTCTAATTATAATTGTCTATTGTGTGAAAGAATTCAACATAGCTGTAAATATATTTTTTCCCACAATGCAACATACAAAGACGCCCTAAATAAACAATGGTTACATTTTCTTTGTCTGTAGTTTCTGGCATTCGACACGCAGCTCCTAATGGGAAACAAGAGATACACCATGAGTCCAGAGGAATATGTCTTCGCCACCCTCAACATCTACCTGGACATCGTGTACATATTCTCCTTCTTCCTCCAGTTATTTGGCACAAAGAGAGATTAAACCCGCCCTTCAATCCTGCAGATAAGGGCTGTACCATTCTAAAAAAAAATGAAGATGTTGGTAATCCTGGTAGCTTTTTTTTTTTTTTGAGTCATGGATATTTTATGAATCACCTGAAATCACTAGACATTCACATGGATACATATCCATATCATCACAACAAGTTGTCTTGTAGCTTCCGATCCATTTTTCAGCATGTTTATGAGCCAGGCCTGCAGGGCACATTACTAGAGCCAGAAACAACAATGTCTCTTCATTCAGTGTTCTAAAACAATCTGGATGTGTTCATATGTAGTAGTTGTATCAGTGCAAATCCATTAGAAATCACCTGAATTTAAAAAAACTATTATCGACCATTCAGGAATAAATAAAACGCATGACTCCTAGCTTAAACAAAGCAAACAGAACTCATTCTAAATTTTGTTGCTGTGGATCTTCTTTTACAAATGTAACTTCAAAATGCATTTAAAAAAAACATATATGCACATCATTCCTTCTGTTTCTAGTCCTATGCATTGTCATCTCTATACTGTGAATTGCGAGTGTTCTGTTGTATTTAATAACTAGACAGTAGGTGATACATTATTTTTTCTTGGCTTTAAATTACAATCTAGATTTTTGTTTTTGGTGAAAATTATTTAACTATTCATATTTACAAAAGTGTTTTAATGCATATGAAGAAGTCATTTTAAAGACATGCTGATTTTTGATGTGTGACCAAAATCTGTTCAGTGCACTTACTTTGCTCCACTGCTTGTATGTGATTTATCCAACATGTGTGTTTGAACCAAAACGCTTCAATGAAGGATTTTTGATTGACATCTTTCAGAAAGATTTTCAGATTGAGCCTTATAGGTTTTAGTTTTACTAATGTGATAAACTTTCAATCATTTTGACAGTATATCTGTCAATAAATATAAATTTAAGAGTGCCAAACATGCAGGAACTTTTTTTAAGGACTGCATTTGTGGAGGAACCTGAATGCTGTTATGTTATTTCACTACTTTAGATGAGGGGATTTCAAGGTATGGGTCTGATTCTTCTGAATATTTTTATGTGTTTTAGTGTTCCTTTGTATTACCTTTATTTTGTTATATAGGTGCAATATATTTTAAGAGGACTCCACATTTCATCCGTGAATTGGTGTTACTGTGTATTTTATTAAGAGTGTGTATAAATATAGTCACAAGTTCTGATTAAATAAACTGAGCTGCAACACATTTCATGTAATGTAACAATTCTGAAAGTTCATGTGGGAAATTCTGGAATAAAATACTAATTTCAGAGCAAGGTATCTCATGCTTAATATCTTTTCATTCTGCGGAAAATTGTTTGGGCTTTTATTTGAATGATGAACACAACTGAAGTTGGTCTAATAGAATAAAAATAGATCCTATTTATTCATTTTTTTTTAAAGAATCAAAATCTGTAAAGTTTAGCATGCCTGTGTATTCTGCCTTTGCTTTAGTATTCCAAAATAAAATCTGTATAAGTTATTAATCACTTAGGTATGTAATTAGGCATCAATAACCAAACTGTGTGATGAAGAATAGGAAGGAGAAAATAGTGAAGAAATGAAAATCAGTCTTGCAAAACAATATTCCATTCATCAGAGAGGCATCGTATGAGATCTGAAGTACCTCTGGATGAGGGACAGAGCTTCAAAGCGCAGGTAAAAGACTGTTGACAGGAAAACTATTAGTTGTGCACTCTATCAATCAGGCCTTTGTGAAAGTGAAAATGTAACAGAGCCAATGTGCAAAGAAAGAAAACCTCATATAAAATTTCCAATAAAAAAGATGCATTTGTTAGATAGGACTAAAAGTACAATTTTAAGCCTCTAAACACCCTATAAACTTCATTATTCCCACCTAAAACATGAATGGCTGCATTATGCAATTGCTGTTTTGAGCCCCAGATTAACTGAGCTGCATATCTTGGATTATTTTATATCAAAACATATTCATGTCTTAGACTAAGAGATATAACCATACATCTGCCCGCTGATTTTTGGCTGATATAGGCATTTTGTATTGTATTGTTAATAGCAGATATTTGCATGAGTTTGCGGATTCATGAGCGCATTCAGCAGCCATGAATTCAGATACCATGAAGCACACGCATCATTGCTCCCTCCATTTTCTATCCATCGCAAATTTTTTGTCAGATTTGTTAATAAATGCTTATTTTTTAGTCAAATTAAAAGCTGTGTGGCATTTCTTATTATTGTCATTTTTACCATGTAAATGCAGGAACACACTATCAGCCCTCTAAATGGGCCTAAAAAAAAACTTGGCAGCACATATCGGCAATTAGGATTATATTTTCTGCCACTTTTAGCACTTATTTTTTTCCCATGTACCAACATCAGTCAATACATGCATGCATTCATCAATTCATTAGTCCATTTTGCTCCATGCCTTGAGATCATATGAAGTGCATGCATTGCCACCCCCTCCATTTGCAATATATTGTTAATGTTTTGTTTTATTCTTCAATAATTATTTCTTTTTTGTTTAAATTGAGACTTGTGTAACATCTTTTATCATTGTGTCATTTTTATCATGTAAATGGAGAAAGAAACAAAAAAAATCGGATTTGAAATGTGCTTATCAGTACTGATGTAATCTGAAGAAGAGCAGTTACGGAGTAAAGTTTTCCTTGGATAAATAAGCTACAATATACAAATGTACAATCCTCCGCCTCTAAGATTCCAGATTCCATTTGGAAAGGGGGATGGTAAATCAACAATTAGAAAGAAAGAAACAGTGAGATGGCAACAAATATGGGATGAAGATGAGAAAGGGAGAACATTATATAAGGTTAAAAAATCTGTAATATAAAAAAAAAAATATGGAGAAAGAAGCAGAAGGGAAGAGATCATTTCCACTAAACTAAGAACTGGACACTCATACTTGAATGAGTTTTTGTTTATACTAGAGAAGAGAAATAATGATTTATGTGAGGGTTGTGGAGAAAAAGAAAATGTGGATCATGTTTTGATTTAATGAACTGCCATAAAAATGCATCTGAAAGAAAGGGGAAGAGAGAAGTAATTAGGGAAAAAGGAAGAGAATGGAGTATTAAAGAATTTTAGTGACAGATGGAGATAGAGAGGAAATTAGGGTCATTGATAAAGTATTATTTTTACATAACACAGAAATAAAAAATAGAATATAGTAGGTGGAACCCTAATGCTACACACTCTTGTACAGTAGGAGGTGGTATGGATCTATAAGTTGTTTGCAATCCACCAATCAAATGGAAGAAGAAGAAGAAGAGGCTTGGTCTGCGCTATGTAATTCCACGCCACACCGCAAGAGGGACAAACACGAAGTAGCTATGGCTGGGATTGTGGGTGTGGTGGTTGGCGTGTTTCTCTTCCTGTTACGGAGGTCATTCAACAACAACAACAATGGCGACTGAACCAATGCGTACTTTGGCTGAGATAGAACTAATAAATCTAGAAATAGAAGAAATATTGTTACTGAAGCTGGCAGAGAGGCAAAAGAAGCGTCGCAGAAGATGGTCTGTTCGCCCTTTGAATGTCCCTCGGAGAGAAACCGGGGAATTTGCTACACTTGTGCTACCGATGAGAGACGACGAGGAAAAGCATTTCAAGCATTTCAGGATGTCCGTGTGTCGGTTTGACGAGCTTGTTCGCCGTCTACAGCCCCTCATCCATCACCAGACGACACACAGTTCGCCCGTGAGTGTTCCAGAGAGACTGGCCGTGGCGCTGCGTGTTTTGGCTTCGGGTGCAAACCAACAGACGGTCGCACAGAGCTACAAACTAGCGTCCTGCACGGTGTCTGGGATAGTGTCCGAGGTGTGCCAGGCCTTGTGGACGGCACTACAGCCAGAGTTTCTGCCTTTACCCACAACAGCCATGTGGGAAAACATCGCGGCTGACTACTGGAGATTGTGGAACTTCCCAAATTGCGTTGGAAGTATCGGTTGCAAACGCGTCAACACGAAGCCCCCTTCACGACCAGGGAGCGACCAAAAGGGGGCCCACAACATAGTGTTGATGGCGATGTGCGACGCAAGATATCGCTTCACAATGGTGGACGTCGGAGCCTACGGACGTGAGAGCGACGGTGGGGTGTTCAAGGAGAGTATCTTCGGGTCCTTGCTCCTCGATCACCAGCTAAATCTGCCCCCACCAGCTGACCTTCCCGGGACCTTGGTTAAGACCCCCCATGTTATTGTTGGGGACGCGGCTTTCCCCCTCCACTGCAACCTCATGCGACCATTTCAAGGTATGTACGTGATCTGCAAGTCTTTAGGTCAAAATCTCAAAATAAGGTTCATTATTTTTTATAATGTAATGATAAAGCTTGAACATTCATATATTTTAGATTCATTAAACACTAACTGAAATATTTCAGGTCTTTTATTGTCTTAATACTCAAGCTCATGAAAACCCAAAATTCCTATCTCACAAAGTTAGCATATCATGACAAATGTCTATAAATGAGATATGCACCTAATCATCCGAATCAACAAATTAACTCTAAACACCTGCAAAAGATTCCTGAGGCCTTTAAACGCTCAGCCTGGTTCATCACTCAAAACCCTGATCATGGGTAAGAATGTCAACCTGCCTGCTGTCAAAAAGGCCATCATTGACACCCTCAAGCAAGAGGGTATGACACAGAAAGATATTTCTGAACTAATAGGCTGTTCCCAGAGTGCTGTATCAAGGCACCTCAGTGGGAAGGAAAAAGTGTGGCAGAAAACGCTGCACAATGAGAACAGGTGACCGGACCCTGAGGAAGATTTTGGAGAAGGGCCGATTCCAAACCTTGGTGGACCTGTAAAAGCCCCGACTGAGTCTGGAGTAGAAACATCCAGAGCCACCGTGCACAGGCGTGTGCAGGAAATGGGCTACAGGTGCTGCATTCCCCAGGTCAAGCCGCTTTTGAACCAGAAACGGCGGCAGAGGCGCCTGACCTGGGCTACAGAGAAGCAGCACTGGACTGTTGCTCAGTTTTGCATATCATTTGGAAATCAAGGTGCCAGAGTCTGGAGGAAGACTGGGGAGAAGGAAATGCCAAAAGTCCAGTGTCAAGTACCCACAGTCAATGATGGTTGGGGTGCCATGTCAGCTGCTGGTGTTGGTCCACTGTGTTTTATCAAGGGCAGGGTCAATGCAGCTACCACTTAGGAGATTTTGGAGCACACATGCTTCCACCTGCTGAAAAGCTTTATGGAGATGAGGATTTTATTTGTCAGCACGACCTGGCACCTGCCCACAGTGTCAAAAACACTGGTAAATGGTTTCCTGACCATGGTATCACTGTGCTCATTTGGCCTGCCAGCTCTCCTGACCTGAATCCCTCCATAAAACCTCAGCGGTGCCACAGGCTGATTGCCTCCATGCCACGTCGCATTGAAGCAGTAATTTCTGCAAAAGGATTCCCGACCAAGTATTGAGTACATAACTGTACATAATTTTTTGAATGTTGACTTTTTGTGTAATAAGAACACTATTCTTTTATTGGTCGGATGAAATATGCTAGGCTATGATTATGTGAGACAGGAATTTGGGGTTTTCATGAGCTGTATGCCAAACTCATCCGTATTAAGACAATAAAAGACCTGAAATATTTCAGTTAGTGTGCAATGAATCTAAAATATATGAATGTTCAAGTTTTATCATTACATTATGGAAAATAATTAACTTTATCACAATATGCTAATATTTTGACAAGGACCTGTATGTTCAGTGGAATTGCTAAAAATATGTTGTGTATATCTGTGATGCTATATAAACATAACATGTTCTACTGCATTTCTAAATGGTAAATATTACAATCTTAATGTGATGCAATAATGAGTGCTTCATTGTCTCTTCTCATGCAGGACCTAATCTGCCTCATGACAAGCAGATCTACAATTACCGACACAGCAGGGCAAGACGGATTATTAACAACACATTTGGCATCATGGTTGCACGGTGGAGGATCCTCGGACGGCCAATTGAGTTTTTTCCCGACAAAGCTATGGATGTGGTGAAGGCGTGTGTGGTCCTGCACAACTACCTCACCCACACAGACATGGTGGCATGCCCAGAGGCACGCTACATACCCCCCAGCTATCCAGACCTGGAAAAGGCTGGGTCTTTGAGGCCTGGTGAGTGGCGAGCCGAAGTCACTGGGGATTCCAACATGAAGCCTATTGACCCATCAATGATGTCCAGAGCTCACGCCACCAGAGCATCTACCGCAGTGAGGGGAGACCTGATGTCTTTCTTTCAGACAGAGCGTGGATCTGTTCCATGGCAGAACGAGGTGGTGACTCGTGGTACTCTTGAAGAGTGATGGTCCTCAGTAATGACTTTTCCCAACTCTTGCACACTGTTTTTTTTTTTTTTTTAACTTGATTTTATGTTTTAAATTGTGTATGCTGTTTCATGTTTACCCAACCATTTCAGAAAATTCTGTAGTTTGGCATACTATATGATTTTCAGAATAATAAAAAAAGATACACTGTGTCCATAAATCTTTGGTTTTATTTCTAAACAGAGATAATAAAAAAGATAATATTGAAAATGCTAATAGAAAATTAGAAAATGTACATATATACAAATATTTAACAGTGCAGGTCATATAAACAAGCTGAACCAATGTAGTGCAACAACAGCGGACAAAGAGAGAATAGCAACAACAGCTAATGTTAATAATAAACAGTATAACTATGAAGGTTTTAATGCAGGTATGTAGGGACAATATTGGGCAATAAATGATCATAGAACAAGTTGGGCTAGTTTGGTGTCTTTGCTGCTGCCTGCACTCGATCCATCTGGTTATACATGTAGTTGATGGTATTCCTGGTGACAATGTCCCTACTCTCCAGCGGTGCCTTCCTCATCAACTCTGCCATGAAATTTCCAAAGGACGAGCAGTTATCCTGCTGCAGACTGCGTTGAAGCATCTGGTGACTTTCAGCCAGTTGCTCCAGGTCCAGGTTCATCGCTATCTGCCTGCATGAAATGCTTGAATATGTGCTTACAAGCCGGTAAGGTATCCATAGGAAATACGCATAGTGTAGAGCGGATTTGACCAATCAGAGGCCTTCTATCTGCGGCACTGTCTGCAGTCACCTACGATTTTGGAGAGGTGCAGCAGAGTTCTACACTCATATTAAAACCTTCTATAATCAAATTCTATGAGATAAATTAGTTTTCTTTACAAATGTAATTACTATTTGTATATATTTGCATATGGAGTGTGTAACAAAAGTAATTTCCCTCTGGAATCATTAAAGTATTTCTCATTCTGATTTACTCCTTTCAAGCCCTCTCCTCATATATCTTCTCTGTCTTTCATATTTATGACATTCTAATATAACATGTTTTATTGTTTAATATTTTTCACATCATTCACATTCGCCAGTAGTATGCTTTTGAATTTGAAAAGTATAATTTAGTCCTGTATAACCAAAGCTTAATCTATTTATCACTTTCTCCTCCTTTCATTATACTCTTTCCGTCAGATTTACCTACTTGTTTTAACTGTAACTCTAATAAGACATTTATTTTTGTTCATTTTTACAGTAATGTGAATTAAATTATCCCCAAAACTTTTCTTAATACCAAGCTAGCGACCCATGTACCATTGGACGTGCGCCGCAGTTTGAGACTCGATTAGCTTGACGTCACATTAAAATATTTCCTTAAACCAATAGATTTACGCGACACTCAATTTCACAACATCCAGTCATCCAATTGGATTGCGCCACAGAACTACGTCAGGTTCAGCCATGATGTGGTTTTGAATGAGGAAGAAGCGGGAGATGTTTTACTTCAACGAGTTTATTCACGTTTTATTGAAACATTAACGATCTGGAAAGGAGTTAATCTCAAACAAAAGATGAGAGCAAACTTTCCGACCGCGCGAGCAGCGACCTATGGCGTTCCAGCGGGAATTTAAACACGACTCGGTAAATTAGCCGTTTAGCTAACGACGCTAGCTAGAAACGGCTAATTCTAGGCTAAGAGGCTAACGGTTTGTTTTTCCTTTGGAAAGTGAAAATTGTGTTTATCTGGAGCGTTTCCCTTTAAAACCGCCATAGCAAACCTACCTCACTTGAATAAGTCGAGCTAAGCCTTCACTCGGCTCGACTTTAATTCAGACTAATAGCAGCCATCGCGTATCTGTTCTTTAAATCATCGCTGTCATTTATGAACCTTTAAAGTCATGCTGAATAAAATCTACGAATGGATCGAGACGAGCTTTGCCAATTTACGCAACGGAGAGCCGGCTGTGGAGCATACACCTCGACACCCGGCTCCGAGAGATGCTCTGATCAGAAGGAAAAGAACAATTGATTGGTACGACGTGTGAAAACTACATTTAGATATACATTTTTTCATGGAATCGTAAAACTTTCAGGAAGTTATTTTTTCTTTAATATCTTTTAAACTAACTTAAGTTTAATATTTTCATAACATTAAGTTTTTTTTTATACAGTTTGGAGGAGGACCAAAACACCAATGAAGAAAATTTAGCTATTAAGAAAACACGAATGGGTAATTCAATATTTACTCATATACGTCGTTATTTGAGTGTTGTCGGTCTCATTCAGATAAAATGCATTATTTTTTGTTTAAAATGCTTTTGTAGGTGATTTCATTGATTCAGTCAGGAGTGCTGCTGAAGGGGTAAAAACCCATAGTAACAATGTAGCTACATGGATGAGGAGAAATGTAAGCCCAGCCTTGAGGAATATGCTGCCTACCTCCTCTGATTCCCCTCTGGAAGAACCACAGCCGTCAACATCAGCAGCAAGTAGACCGGTAAGCCCTATGAGCAATTACTCAAAAAAGTATCTTTTGTAATTCCTGTCAGACATAGGTGTAGAGAATTTCCTAGGATCTCCATCATTAAAAGTTCTACTGTTAAAGCAAATTAGTTTGTCACACTGTCCCTGTGGTTCTAATATGCTTTAACAAACAAAGGAGAGAGCAGAGTTGAGCAAAATAGGGCAACCCCTCCACCCTATCTGATCACTTCCAGTCAGCTGGTTGAAAGATAGTGAAGACTGGCCATTGACTTTACTCATCATAACTTTTATTTTTTTTTGTAGCTTTGAAATTGTTTGGAGGGAGTTTTGAAGCTATTATTCTTAAAAACTACTACTAAAATCTATACTTGTCAAAAAAACTATGCATCAAAATAAAGTCAGCTCTGTAAAGTGCTTTTAATGTACGTTATCATGAAATTTTGAAGAAACCCTTAATAAAAAGGGTTTAAGGAAATTTGGAGGTGAAACCTATACAAAGCCATCAGTCATTTTAGAAGATAGATTATAAATAAATTGGATTGGATGAAAGCGAGAATTAAAGCATGTAATTATTGTCCTTTTTTATTTTACATATAATTTATTTTCATTATTTTTAGATTGTTCACAGGAACTCTTTGGGTGAAACATTTGCAGCTCCTTCAACTACACTTGAATGGAAAACACCCAGATCAGGTAAAACCCAAAATCTTTTGGGGATAATGTTAAAAGTGTTTATTTTTCTGCTTTGGTATTATACTTTACCCCATTCACAGTCTTGTTTCTTCATATTAAAGCTTTTTTTTTTTCTTGTTCCACAATTTTAGAGTGGCTTCGTAATGAGAGAATGATTATGGGATCTAAAGTCTGTAGGCGACAAGTTTGTATGACTCCTGCACATCGGGAGGTCCCAAAAACGAATGGCCATCCTAATAGTGTGCCATCCTCCATTAATACCAAGCTGCACCCCTCCCCAAGATTAGGCAGGCCTTTAAACCTCCGGCCACTCAGTGCTTCAAGGTATTTCTTGCTTTCTGTTTTGTGTATTTAATCGACAAAGTTTGGTCATGATTTATAATTACCTAAACTGTCTGCAGTTTCTCGGGTGGAGTTGGCACAACAAGCAGCTCCTGCAGCAACATGTATGAGAAGACCTTTCCCATCAAAGCGGTCCAGAGCCCAACTCACAGCACCTCGTCAAGTCGCTTAAACAGAGTGGGGTACCACTGCACAGCTCAGGAGGTTAGACTGGAGAGCATACCGTTGCCTGAATGTCTCTTATTCTTGTTATCCTTTTGTTCTGATACCATTGTCCTTTTTGTTAGTCTGTTCGTGAGGAGGAGAAGGAGATCTACAGGCAGCTTCTGACTATGGTGTCAGGTGGTCAGTCATCTTTCCTTCAGAATGGCAGCACACACACCTTTGTGAGGTCCCATAGAGATTTGTAAGTACACAAACAGATGGCAATATATTTGAGTTCTGTATTTAAAATTGAAGCAAACATATTCTGTGTTTAGGCTGCAATATAATTCCATGTTTGGTTGTCGCGCTGGTCTGTGCGCGAGACCTTAGAGGCACTGTTCCCTTTTATAGTTGACGCAGATGTAGGTATAGTACTCACAAAAACCACAGAAGGGCACATAACAAGTGGAAAGGCAAAAAAAAGAGCAAAGACATCCACAAGTAAAGCTTAACATTAAATTAAAGATATGACCGGTCGGCTACCTGCAACTCTTGGGAGGGGATTTTTATTGTGTATATGGCGGTGCTCTGCTGACACGTTAAACACCAGTGGACCCAGGATGAGAACCTCGTCTTTAACCCACTGCATTGGTTTACTGCCAAGGGAGGTTCCGAGACAGAATTTGTTCCCCTTTGCATTTGAATCGCATCTTCTGCAGGGAGAGCAGAGCGTTTTGGGGTTTTCTTTCATCCTTTGTTTCTTTTAAATTATTTTATTTTTAAAGATACCCCTCTCTTTTGCTACATGTTCTTAATAAAAAAAAACACTTATATCTTGATCTGCCAGACTTATAGATAATTTTAAGTGTAATTTTTTTCATTGTTTCTTTTATTTGGGACATGTTTCATATGATGAAACACACTAACTAAACTACATAGTACAAAATCTCATTGTTTCACTTTTCACAAAGTTTGATATTTTCATACCGGTTGAAAATAACCTTGTTATAAATTATAGTAATGTCTATACAAAAAAAGATTTTCAAAGAATTAAAATTCTTTCAGAAGTTAAGACTATTTCATCCAGACAGAACTGTGGTTAGCCAGCCTATTAAAACTATGTAAACTTTTAGGATCGGTTCTCTTTAAAGAATCACAACTGATAGAACTCTACACAAGGAATCAGAATTATTCAAATTCCAATAATACCTGACCATATCTCTGAATAAAGCGGAAATTATTTACTAATACTTAATATTACCAGGCAAGGCAAGTTTATTTGTACAGCACATCTACTTCTGGAAGTTTGTTCCAGATAAGTGGAGCATAGGAAGTAAATGCTGCTTCTCCATGTATCGTTGTAGTTCTGGGTGGACAGAGTAGACTTGAACTAGACGACCTTAGTGGTCTGGGAGATTGATATACTGATAACAAATTTGTTACGTATTGAGGCGCTGATCCATTCAGTGATTTA